CTTCAGCTCAAGGCTAGCGCTCTACCACTTGAGCCACAGCGCCACTTCTGGCTTTTTTCTTTTTGCTTATGTGATGCTGAGGAGTCGAACCCAGGGCCTCAGGCATGCAAGGCAAGCACTCTACCACTGAGCCACCTTCCCAGCCCCCACTTCCGGCTTTTTGCTGGTTAATTGGAGATAGGGCTCTCTGATTTATCTGCCTGAACTGGTTTCAAACCAGGATCCTCAGATCTCAGCCTCCTGAGTAACTAGGATGACAAGCTTGAGCCAGCCATGAGTTCCTTGCTCTTTCACGTCTTATGGGTGGCAAGGCCATTACTGAACTACACCTCCAGCTCCACTTCTGACTCCATCCAGCCACCCTACAGGCAGCATCTGTTCATTCAAGGATGGTTTTTTGGTATTGTGGGTAAGACAGAGGAGGTGGCAGTAACAACTGTTCACAGAGTTGAAGAGCTGAGATGGGCGTAGAAAGTGGTCAGGATCTGAAGGAAGAGTGCTTCAGGCCAACGCAGTAGTTAGTGAAAAGACAGATGGGAGCATTGAGTACAGAGGGGGGCAGGCATCAACAAGGCAAGAATTTCTCTTCAGGGCAAGGGGGCCTTTGAAGGGGTTTTCAATGGAGAATTGACATGCTCAGATTTGCATGTTCAGCAAACCTAGCACTGGGAAGTTACTAGGTGATAGAGGTGGCCAGTGGGAGCTGAGGGGTCAGCTGTGACTGGGAGGGGTCACAGGAGCAATTGAAAGGGACCAGTGAGGATGCAGGGGTAGCCACTTTAGGCTGGTAGAGGTCTGAGCAAGGCAGTTGCTTAGCTCAGGTTTGGGCTTGTTGACCAGCAGCATCTGAAGCATCGTCAGTGGTTCAGCCTAGGACTCATTGTGGAGAACTTAACACAGCCCTTGGATCCAGGAGACAAGGAGGACAGAGGGCATGCTGTGAAGGAGGTAGCAAGTTCTGGAAGGTTGGGTGAGTTGAGAAGGGTGTGCATGGGAAAATATTGGACAGTTTGGCACTATCAACATTCATGAGGAATTGTGGCAGGCTTGGCAGGTGACTGAAAAGCTGAGATTGAATTGGGTTGATTCTTCTAGAGACTTAAGGCTATGTGACAGGGTGGGGTCTACGACATGGATAAGACTCAGCTTTTCTCCCCTAACCCCCGGGAGCTCCCACGCACTGCAGATAATTGCTAAGTGATATTAGTAATGTCATTTGAAAAGTATGCCAGGGGCAGGAAGGACAGGACAGCCATGAAGGGAGGAAGGTTCTTTGGGCCCCTGCTGAGTTGTTTTTATCTGGCTGGGGAAAGGAGCTAGGCCATCCCCGCAACAGGTTCTGGAGGGGTTGGTTGTCATTGCAATCTGTGTATGGTCATCTCAGTGAATCCTTTAACTATCTTTGCTCTCCAGATAGAAATCTTAGGCTAAGAAAGGAAAGGCTGCCCAGATCCTCATGCTATCAGTGTCTGCTTGAACCTGGACACCTTTATGCCCATGACCCTGCCATCTTCCTTCTGAATTTAGGAGCTAGACTTAGCCCACTAGATGCCAGGCCAGCCCGGTTGCTGAGTGCTTCCAGGCATTAATAAACTGATAATTCTGGAAGCCCACACATTTGGCTAAGCTCCAGGCTCCATCTTCACATCAAAGATGGATGCTGGCATAGGGAATGCTGGGAACAGTGCCAGGGAATTTTGGCTGGGCTCTGAGGGTACAGGCACTCTGCCTACCGTGTGGTTAGCCAGTTCTTACTTCCTGACCCTCACTGGTGATACCAGTCCCTTCACTGAGTTGAACTCTTCCTTCCACCCTTCTAGGAGGGCTGCATGGTTCTGAGAAGTTGAGGCAGGGTGGCCACAGGGTCTGGCCTCTGCTTCTCTGCTGTGTGGCTTCAAACAGTGGACAGAATCTGAGATCTGGCCAACTGGGAGGAGACTCAGTTAGGCTGCCTATAAGAGGCCACCCACATGGGGCTTCACAATGGGAAGAACTTACTAATTACTGCAGTCTTGTGTGTGTGTGTGTGTGTGAATGTGTGTGTCTCTCTCTGTGTCTGTCTGACTGTGTCTGTGTGTCTGTCTGTGTCTATGTGTGTCTGTGTCTGTGTATTATAGAACTGGGACTTGAACTTGGGGCCTGAGTGCTGTCCCTTAGCTTTTTCACTCAAGGTTGGTACTTTCAAGGCTGGCACTTTACCACTTTAACCACACCTCTGCTTCTGACTTTTTTGTGGTTAATTGGAGATAAGAGTTTCATGGACTTTTCTACCTGGGCTAGCTTCATACAGTGACCCTAAGATCTCAGCCTCCTGAGTAGTTTAGCATTACAGGTAAGAACCACTGGCACTCAGCTAATCTTGGTGTCTTCAGAGGTGATGAGCTTCTGGTTGGGGCAGATGTGTAAGCCAACCTTTTCAGGAGTGCTGGAAGAGTAGAACAAACACTTGAGATTCCATGATCCTAAAGTTGATTAAAATGCTAAACATCTTTGAAATCAGGTTTTTGTTTGTTTATTGTTTTTTGTCAGTCGTGGGGCTTGAACTCTGGGCCTGGGCACTGTCTCAGCTCTTCAGCTCTAGGATAGCACTTTACCACTTGAGCCACAGCACCACTTCCAGTTTTCTGGTAGTTTATTGGAGATAAGAGTCTCACAGACTTTCCTGCCTAGGCTGGCTCTGAACCACAAGCAATCCTCAGATCTCAGCCTCCTGAGTAGCTAGGATTACAGACACGAACTCCGGTACCTGGCTTTTGAAGTCAGTTTGTTTTGCCAGTTTACTAAGTGGGGACATAAAATGTCCTGCATCGTACCAGGTTTATTAGCTCCCAGGAGATTCTGTCCCCAAAGGTCTGGGGTATGGACTATGTGCAGCCAGTGTCTGGACCTGCCTACGTTGCTTACTCACACTGAGCCTGCAACTTAGCTGTCATAGTTCTATCAGCCTTGGCCTTTACGGTAGCCTGTGTGGGGTTCAGCACTTCCTGGTACTCAGGGGCATCAGCTTCCTGAACCTGATAGCTACCAGTTGCAGGAAGTGGTTTCTCTACATTCCCTTCTTGTGGGTCTTCATCCTGCTGAGTGACTTTGGGTGGGTCCCTTCCCCTCTCAGCTTTTGTTCCCCTGGCTGGAATATACTTCTTACCCTTCCAGTCCCTGTATTCCCAGATAAGGGGTGAAAGGGAAAAGGGTATCATCCAAGCAGGCACAGGAAGGGCTTTGGAGGCAACTGGGAGCCGATTTCTCTGCAGGGAAGCTGAATTGAGTTGTGAGCACCTCCCCATAGATTGGACCCTTGAACCTCCTATTTGACTTCAGCCCCCCAAAGCACTATGGGAATCTGGTGGCAGCACAGAAGGAGTGATTAGAAGAGGAAAGGCGGGCTGGGAAGGTGGCTCAGTGGTAGAGCGCTTGCTTTGCATGCCTGAGGCCCTGGGTTCGATTCCCCAGCACCACATAAGCAAAAAGAAAAAAGCCGGAAGTGGCGCTGTGGCTCAAGTGGTAGAGTGTTAGCCTTGAGCTGAAGAGCTGAGGGACAGCACCCAGGCCCAGAGTTTAGGCCCCATGACCAGCCCCCCCCCCCAAAACAAAAAAAAAAGAAGAGGAAAGGCGTTGGGTCAGGGGCTGACATCTCTCAGGCCAACCTAGTACAAAATATCTCCAGAAACAGAAAGGCTAGCTCAGCCACCTCTCATCTACTGCCACTATTCACACTCCATTCTTTCTATGCCCTCTGGCCTCTGCCCTCTGTCCAGTTCCTGGAACTGGCCAAGGAGCTAATGGCACCCACCAGGGTCTTAATGAGTGAGACAGGGTTAATGGGTTACTTAGCATGGTGACATATTCACCAGTATCTCAGGCCTCTCAAAGTCCAGAGAAGCCTGGCCTTCAAGGTCTAGGCTTGGCCACCTCCTTTCCACACTTGATGCCTCGGGGCTCAAGAAAGGCCCAAGAGACTCAAAAGGCTCACGTGGGCACTCACTGTTCCTGAAGAAACTTATACTTCCTGGCCTTGTTATGCCTGCAGTGTCCCCACCTCCCCCCCCCCCCAATCCAATCTCAGCTCTGGACTAGATCCCAAGGCCCTCATCCTAGGGGATGCTTCTCCTTCATAGCCTTTGGTTCTCCTCCTTGGCTGACAATGCTATCTTATCTCCAGCTAGACCAGTGTCTCCCTGGGAGAGAAGAAAGCAAAGGGGCTAGGATCTGCATGCCAGAGGGAATGAAAGAATAAGTATCAGCCACTGTTAGCCAGTGCAAATTGTGGTAGGCAACAGCTCCCGTGTGGATCTCACTTAGAGGGCTTAGAGCTTGGTCTGAGGGTTACCTTGTGGAGGCAGCCCTTCTGCATCTCATGCAGTGGACCAAAGCAGGCAGGGAGGTGACTAGGGAGGTCCCTGTCTACCAGCCTCTACAGCCTTAGTGTCCTTTATCAACCTGACTGTTCATGCCCAAGGCATGGATTACAAAGACTCCCTTGAGTCACGTGACTCCTTTCAGTCTGGGTTAACCAAGATGGTGGAGTGTTAGCCCCTACACTCCTAACCTGTGCCTTGGAGCGTGGAGAAAGGGCATGTTTGGAGGGGTGCCTCCTGATCTTGGAATTGTAGACGGACGTTTAGGTTCTTGAGACTTCATGTGGGCCTCACATGACTGACTGTACAACCCCAATGTACAGGTATTGGTTGTACCCCAGTTCTGTGTGGCCCCTAGTTAGATATTAATGTGTGGGAGGGGGGGGGCTCATGTTCATTCAGGGAAACTTTGTCCTGATTTACCTTTGGCTGAAATCCAGCTTTCTTCAACTCCACTCGGGTCCTCTGGGCTCAGATTTCTCATGGCGGGCTTGAGAGAATAGCAGCTGTGTGAGGTCACATGACACTAGAAAGAGGACCTGGAAGCAATCCTGTACCTTTAAAGTTTCCTCCCACCTTAGGCCAGTAGGGGGAGGGAGGGGAGGAGCTGGGTTGCAGCTTGGGATGGGGACTAGGACTAGAAATGAGCTAGCTCAGTGCTGTGTGAGCCCAGCAGGTGTCTGGCTGTTCCCCAAACAGCTCTGTGACCCTGTGGTATCGCTCACACTCTCTGAGCTTCTGGACACAGTTGGTAGGGAAGTTAAGGCTTGGGCCTCTCAGAAGTGTGGAATCTTGGATTCTATCTTCAGTTCTGCTGTAACTGTGAAGGGTAAGAGACTGCAGTTTGGTAACTCAGGTAGGCAGGACCCTGAGATTCTTTGACTCACTGGGCTTGAGGTGGGTGCAGGGTCTCTGTTTCTTGTCTGACCTGTGGATTTGGGACAGCCTGCTCAGGCTTTTGAGCTACCTGTGCCCTCTGAAGAAACTCTTGAGGCATCTCCAGCTTCCCAGGAAATGAACTTGAGATGAAGAGGAAAGGGTAGATGGAGAAACTGAGGTCTCGGGGAAGGTCTGACAACCTGGGAAGGGGCTGGTAATCATCTCTAAGAGCAGAACTTGCATTGTAGTAGGAACGAGCAAGTGCTCAATGCTCAGACCACATCACCCCCTCTCGCTGGGCTTTGATTGTGGTTGTGGGTGGAGCTGGGGGGGGGTGAGGCAAGACCCATTGTGCAATGAATGGGGTCATTACCTAATTCCAGGGGGCTTCCGCTCCTGCCTCAAGGTCATACTTAGTAGATACCTGTTTGAACAGATTTCCAGCAAGTTGTGGGTTTTAATTTATAGGGAAGAAACTCCCCCCATCCCACCGCCCATACTCCACTCTCTGTCACCAGGTTGGGCAGTCAAGGAGGCAGACTCCGGCTTCCTGCGTAAGGAGCAGTGAAAGTCCTGGCCAGGGGTTCAGGCCAGGCTATCTGTTTGTTCTCATACCCTCAGAGGAGGTGACTCCACCCTGAATGAAGTAGGGCCTGGACTTACCTGTGGGTCAACGTGTCTGCCAGGAACAGCTGACCTTAAGTAAATTGTTTCTGCCTAAGCTGTTTTCCTGTCTGTGAGTGGCTTAGAGTTGGGCCTCAGGTTTCTTCCTGTGGCTTGGGGAAGGCTGGGCTGGAGGATTAGCAGGGAAAACTCCAGGCTGACTGTTCTGTTTGGGTCTCCAGGCTGACGATTCTCTGTCTTTTCCTCTCCAGTGTGTTTGGGAATCTGCTCTGCTCAGCCTAGATGTGTGTGTGTGTGTGTGTGTGTGTGTGTGTGTGTGTGTGTGTGTGTGTGTTGGGAGCGGTGGAGTCAGCAGTCAGCATCTCTGGGAAAGGATTGCATATTCCCAAGGATGGGGAATTCTTTAGCCTATGTGCATAGCTGACCAGAGAGGGAAGAAGGGAGAGAAAGAGCCATGTGAGTTAAGGGATAATGGGGGGAAAGTGACTGAGGCTCCTTGGGAGCCAGACACACAGCACCTTCTTCTTGAGACTTCCTTAGTGAGCTTCTCAGGGCCATACAACAACTCGGGGCAGGTATGGGGTAGCAGGACAGCACTGCTGGGCTGTGTGACTTTGGGTCAGCTCTGGCCCTCTCTGGGCCCTGCCTGAAGTGCTGATGTTCCTGGACTGGTGGTGGTTGAACCGGTCTGGATGCTGGAGCTTTCTGGGATGGGCCTCTGGCATCTGGCAGCACGATCTAGGCTGAGGTCTGGTAGCCAGGCACCCTTATTTTTCTTTGTCTCAGGAAGCCGTCTGTGGGACACTGTATCTGGCTCTGAGCTGAGAACTTTTGAACAGGGACAGAGAGAAACAGAGGAGCACCCAGTTCTGGAGCTCCCTGGAGGGGCTGACCAGTGGAGGATGCCATTTGGAAGGAGCTGAGTTTGAGAGGGAGGAACTCTTTGCTGAAGGTCATCGTGTCCTCCCCTCTCCTGCTCAGGGGCCTCCCATGGGCTGTTCATACTTCAATCACCTTGGTAACAAGCCTAGTTTCCATGCCTTTTTACTGCTATGACATGCCTGCGACCATACTCCCTGCTTGGTTGGACTCCAGACAGAGAACTGCCAGTCCTAGGTCCCATCCAGATGACTGCAGATGTTGGTCTCAGGTTGGGAATGCTGGTGGTGACTCCTGACTGAGTTCTAAGCATAGAAGAATTCAACCATCCTTTCCTGCCCCCGACCAAGGTGCCCCCCACCCCATCCTAATCCCAATCTGGAGATCCCCCGAGGAGCTCAGCAAGGGCCACAGGCGTGGCTCTGGCAGCTTCTGCTTCTGGGAGGTGGGGAGGAACAGCTAGTTCTGTGGCCAGGATTTTCCCAGGAGGACAAATCTGCTTTTTCCTCCCCAGCGGGTACCCCAGTCCAGAACTATCTTCTGAAGAGAGGGCTTTCTCCTGGACCCTTTTCCTGAGCCTCAGGTAAACTCGCCCGGGTTCTGTGGAGGGAGGGCCTGGGTGTGAAGCTCAGTGGGATGAATGACTCTATCTCTAGCCTCGGTTTCCCCTCCTGACACTGATTTGGGTAAGAGCCAGGCTTCTGAGCTTGAACATTCTTTCAGTGAGTGAGGAAACTTGAGGGTGGAAGGGTAGGAAATGAAAGGCTAGTCCCCCAGCAGGGTGTCTTCCTCTGTGCTGGGAATATCTGCCTTTGGGAGGCTGGGCCAGTGCTCCCTGGCTTGGAAAGGGGAGATAGGATTTGTGCTACCCAGTCATGGCTCCCTGCTCCCTGGCAGTCTGATTTTTGCTAGGTCCCCTTACTTGGACCTTTAAATAGCTAAGGAGATTGGAACATGTATCTCAGGGAATCATGGTTGCCTTACTCCCAGGAACCTGGGAGAAATGAGGACCTAAGTACTGCCCAGAGTGGACCACTCAGTGGGGAACACTCCGGCCCCACTACATATGATGAGAATGCTCTGTGTTCAAAATGGATAATGCTAAGCAAGGAGCTGGTATGCCTGTAATCCTAGCTACACAAAAGGCTGAGATCTGAGGATCAAGTTTCAAAGACAAACCTGGCAGGGAAGTCTGTGAGATTCTCATTTCCAGTTAACCATCAAAAAACCAAAAGTGGAGCTGTGGCTTAAATGGCAGAGCACCAGCTTTGAGTGGAAAGAGCTAAGGGACAGTGTCTTGGCCCAGAGTTCAAGCCCCAGTACCAGCACACACGTGTGCACACATGCGCGTGCACGCACGCGTGCACACACACACACACGCATGCACACACACACAGAATGAGGATGTCACTTGTTGCTGGCTCAGCATCTGGGGCTCCTTGGAATTCCTAATGTGACTCTCATCATGAACTCTTAACCTGGACCCAGACTTCTCATCACAACCCAGTGTCAGTACACCTGAGGTCTGGTAAAGGGTATGGACAGTGAACAGGGTGGGGCTTGTTTGATACTTTGAACCACAGAGCCCTCTGGTTGCTTTTTGGCGGACAGAGCAAGTGGATAGAAGTGTAAAGTGGATGGGCTGGGAAGATGGCTCAGTGGTAGAGCACTTGCCTTGCATGCATGACACCCTGGGTTCGATTCCTCAGCACCACATAAGCAAAAAAGAAAAAAGCCGGAAGTGGCACCTGTGGCTCAGGTGGTAAAGCGCTTAGCCTTGAGCCGAAGAGCTGAGGGACAGCGCCTAGGCCCAGAGTTCAGGCCCCACGACCGGACCCCCCCCCCCAAAAAAAGAAGAAGTGTAAAGAGGAGGCGATGTGTTCAGATCCTCATGCCTGATTTAGGCTATGGTGCTGAGGACTGTCTTGGATCCTACAAGGGACATGGGTTAGGGTCTGTTAATGTGACTGCCCACCAGATCTTTCTTCTTCCTCCTCCTCCTTCTCCCCTGCTGCTGCTGCTGCTGCTCCTCCTCCTCCTCCATCTCTTCTTCTCCTGTTCTTCCTCCTTCCCCCCTTCCTCCCTTCCTTCTCCTCCTCTTCCTCCTCTTCCTGGTATTGGGGCTTGAACTTAGAGCCTTCTGCTCTTGCTTGAACCTTTTCACTAAAGGTTGATGCTCCACACATATTGCTGGTGGGAGCCAATGGTTCACAACTATAATCCTAGCTACTCAGAGAGGCTGAGATCTATGGATCGAAGTTCAAAGCTAACCCCAGGCAGCGAAGTCCATGAGACTCTAATCTCCAATTAACTATCAAAAAGGCCAGAAGTGAAGCTGTGGCTCAAGTGATGAGTGTTAGCCTTGAGCAAAAAAGCTCAGGGACAATGCCCAGGTGCTGAGTTCAAGCCCCAGGACTGGCACCAAAATGAAATGAAATGAAATAAAAGAATCGCTCAGATTCATTTACCTAGGCAGGCTTTGATCCTCGATCCTCAGATCTCTACCTCCTGAGTAACTAGGATTGTAGGCATGAGCAACTTTGCACCTGGTCCTACTGCTTTGGGGCTCAGTTTCCCCCTCTACATCAAGAGCTTGAAGTCTTTGTATTTTTCTCCCAAGATGAGGGTTCAAATCTTTTTTTTTTTTTTTTGCCAGTTCTGGGGCTTGAACTCAGAGCCTGGGCACTGTCCCTGAGCTTCTTTTTGCTCAAGGTCAGCACTCTACTACTTGAGCCACAGTGCCACTTCTGGCTTTTTTCTGTGTACGTGGTACTGAGGAATCGAACCTAGGGCTTCATGCATGCTAGGCAGGCACTCTACCACTAGGCCACATTCTCAACCCTTTTTTTCCTTTTTTTTTTTCCAGTCTGGGGTTTGAACTCAGGACCTGGGCACTGTCCCTGAGCTTCTTTTGCTCAAGGCTAGCACTCTACCACTTGAGCCACAGCGCCACCTTCAGCTTTTTCTGTGCATGTGGTACTGAGGAATTGAACCCAGGACTTCATGCATGCTAGGCAAGCTCTCTTCCACTAAACCACATTCCCAGCCCAGGTCAAATCTTACGCCATCCACCGCTCCCAGCCCACTAAGCCACTTTTCCTTGTGTCTGGAATGCTATCCTCCACAGGTGCGAGCACTCCTCTGAGTGTCCTCCACTCCTAAATCATCTCTGGCATATCCTGTTTGGCTCTGAGTTCAGATGCACTGAACAAGGACAGAAAGCAGAGGGGGATCCAGCCTGAGGCTCTCTGAAGAGGGTCATTGGTGGATGCTTCCTGTGGAAGGAATAGAGTGTGGGGAAAGGAGCCCCTTGTCTCTGTGGCCATATTTCTCCTTACCTGGTTCGATCATATCCTTAATCTGCTACCACCACCACAGGGACTATGAGGCTGCAGCTGTCCTTTCCTGGATGGCCCAGAGGGAAATACACAGCCAGCGAGTGGTCCACTGATGACCATCCTCTAGTGTAGCCCCAGTAAGAACATCTACTTAGCCAACATCTACTGAACCCTTCATTCTTTTCTTTTCCTTGATTTTTTTTTTTTTTTTTTGTCGGTCATAGGGCCTGAACTCTGGGCCTGGGTGCTGTCCCTCAGCTCTTCAGTTCAAGGCTAGCACTCTACCACTTGAGCCACAGCACCACTTCCTGATTTTTTCTTTTTGCTTATGTGGTGCTGAGCAATCGAACCCAGGGCCTCATGCATGCAAGACAAGCGCTCTACCACTGAGCCATCTTCCCAGCCTTCCATTTATATTCTCAAGAGAGAGACCCACAGTTCAACCTTCTGCTCCCTTCCACACACTCCCACCCCTCTCGGTGTGCCAAGAATGGAATCCAGCCTCTCACATGTTAGGCAAGCACTCTAGCTTAGAACCACATCCCTGGGACCATTTTCTCTCCCTTCAGACCTTGTCTATCCTTGCTCAACCCACATAATCCCAGATCTTCACATCCAACCTCATTTTTGCCTTTGGTTTCTCTCAGTAGCATCCTACACAGTTCACTACACATTCTTCCATTTAAAAAATTAATGTGTGTGCATGTGCACTAGTAGTACTGGGGCGTAAACTCAGGGCCTGGGCAGTGTCCCTTAACTTTTCCACTTAAGGCTGGTGTTCTGCCACTTGAGCCACAGCTCCACTTTCAGCTATTTGGTGGTTAATTGATTTTTTTTGGGGGGGGTCTGGTCATGGGGCCTGAACTCTGGGCCTGGGCGCTGTCCCTCAGCTCTTCAGCTCAAGGCTAGCGCTCCACCACTTGAGCCACAGCACCACTTCCGGCTTTTTTCTTTTTGCTTATGTGGTGCTGAGGAACCGAATCCAGGGCCTCAGGCATGCAAGGCAAGTGCTCTACCTCTGAGCCAACTTCCCAGCCTTGGTGGTTAACTGAAAATAAGAGTCTCATGGACTTTCCTGTGCAGGCTGGCTTCACACTTCAATCCTAAGATCTTAGCCTTCTGGGTAGCTAGGATTACAGGTGTCAGCCACTGGCACCTGGGTACTTTTTCTTTTTTACACTTTGCAGACACAAAAATTTACAAAATGAGTTAGGCACCAGTTGAAGCCAGCCTGCACAAGAAAGTCCATGAAGGTGACTCAGTGGTAGAGCGCTTGCCTTGCATGCAAGGTTTGATTCCTTAGCACCACATAAGCAAAAAGAAAAAAAAAAGCCAGAAGTGGCGCTGTGGTTCAAATGGTAGAGCTCTAGCCTTGAGCTGAAGAGCTGAGCGACAGTGCCCAGGCCCAGGGTTCAGGCCCCACGACCGGACTCCCCGCCCCCCTGCAAAAAAAAAAAAAGAGTTTCACAGACTTTCTTGCCTAGACTGGCTTCACATCACAGTCTTCAGATTTCGGACTCCTAAATAGCTAGGATAATCAGCCAAGAGCCACTGGTTCCCAGCTGGACATTTCATTTTGACATGCCCATCTATGATACAATGTATACATAGGACACTCATCTCCTATCCCCCCTCCCTCTAGTGCTTCTATTCTAGCCCACTTAATGGACAATACCCCTTAGTGAGAGAGGCCAGCACTAGACTTGAGAAGTGACTTGCCCAAAGTCCTATAGTAGGTCCAGACTCAGAGAGGGGCAGCTGGCTCAGGCCCCTTAGTCCCTTCTGAGATAGGACACACCACCAGATCTTGGATTTGTACACAGATATCTGCTTTGTAAACTTTGTAAACTTTCTCCCAGGGTGCCTGGGAGAAAGGCTGGGAGAAGTCATGCGGATATATGCATGGGCTGACAGCTTCTTTGACTCCAGAGTTCAACTGGAGGCAGCGAACCATCTAGAGCAGAAGGACTCACACTGAGTCTCCCTCCCCGCCATACCCACCACTTGCAGAAAGAGCTGGACCTGCTTCAGATCTATCCTTGTGATTTTCAGGGGAATAAGGAGTCTGACTGGTGTGGGATTCTGTAAAAAAAAAAGATTCTGGGGCCACAGATTGTTTGCAGCCAAAATATCCTGTCTTTGGGATCACACCTTCCAGACAAAAGCTTGGGCTTCTTATCTGCTGCTACACGGTAAGTTCTGGCCCCATGGTAGCTGTAGTGTGATTATTTTAGGAGACTGGAGCACACCTCCTTGGCACTCACGGACGCTAAATGGGCACACGGTGTGCTATTCTAGGGGACCCATAGACAGTGGCTAGGTTCTGGGCTGGGGTGGGGGACATAGAAGAATGAAACTAGGTGTGTCATTCCTGGAGCCCCCCCACTAGGCAGAGGATGCTCAGCTGCTGGGTGGAGGTAGACAGGACACATGAATGGTTTCCCAGGCAGGGTCTCTCTTAGAGTTGAGGTCCTCACTGGGCTTAGGCCTGGAAACAATCAGGGAAGATTTAGGAGGGCAGAGATGGCATCCAAAGCTGCTGACCGAAGAAATATCTTGGCCAAAGATCTAGAGTCAGGACAGCCTGTATCTTTTAGGAGGCTGGAAGGAGACACAGGGTTGTTTTCTGAGGCTTGACTTTAGACTGTGCCCTATGGGAGAGGGGCATGGTCTGGGAGTGGCCAAAGTTGGGCCTGACCTTGTGCTTCACCCTACCCTGTGCAGACCAGGTACAGAGCCATGAAGAATCGGTTGGTGATGCTGGGCCTGTTGGCGGTGGTTGTGGTGGCTGTTGTCATTGGCCTCTGCCTTTGGCTGCCCTCCTCTTCCAGGGGATCTGACCATGTGTACCGTAAAGCAGCGGTAGCTGCAGATGCTAAGCGCTGCTCAGAGATTGGGAGGTGAGTGGGACCACCTGATATGAGGCAAGATGGAGGAGAGCGTCTCCTTGCCCCTCAAAGACTCAGTTTCCCCAACTGTAACTGATCGGTCTAGATAAACAGTATTTGGTGTGCTTGGCCTGGCCTTTCCTTGACCCCTTTTTAAAAAAATATTTTTGTTGTTATTGTATAGGTGATGTAAGGAGGGGTTATAATTAGATAAGTCAGGTAATGAGTACTTTTTTTTTTTAATAATGTCACCTCTTCCCTCACTCTGTCCCAGTTTTTCCCTCCCATCTACACCTACAAGTTGAATTTTCAGCATAGTGGCCAGTGAGTACCACGGCTGCCTTTGTTCAGCCTTTGTCCGATTTCTGCGCCTCCTCTTACCCTCTCAAAGACAGACAAATGAACAAACAAGACAAAAAAGAAAAGAAAACCCTCTTGTTTCCATTTCTTGGAGTTCATTTTGATGAATATGATTTTATATGATCAGATGCACATAGGTGTTACACCTTTGGGTTCCTTGGCTTCTCTTGCTAACCTCTAGTCAGGAGAGAAGGAATGATGACTTTGAGAACAGGCTATTGGTCTCTGAACAGTCAGCTTGGGCCTTCTTGCCCCTCACTCCCACAGTTCTATGAATATCTCTGGATAAATGCTGCTGTTATGTTCTATTTTAGCTATCACACATGATCTACAAAGACCAATTCTTACTTAAAAGCCAAAAAATGTCACTCATAGAAATCTATTTTCTAGCCAGCTGTGGTGGTTCACTCCTGTCATCCTAGCTACTTGGGAGGTAGAGATCAGAAAGATTTTGATTTGAGGTCAACCAGGCAAAAAGTTCTCAAGGCCAAAGTCTCAACCATAGATGCAGGAAGCATAAATAGGAAGAATGCAAGCCAGGAGCTGGTGGCTCATGCCCATAATCCTAGCTACTCAGGAGGCTGAGATCTGAGGATCATGGTTCCAAGCTAGCCAGGGCAGGAAAGTCTCTGAGACTCTTATCTCCAATTAACCACCAGAAAACCAGAAGTGGCTCTGGGGCTCAAGTGGTAGAGTGCTAGCCTTGAGCTGAAGAGCTCAGGGACAGCTCCCAGGCCCAGAATTCAAGCCCCACATTCAACAACAACAAAAAAAGTTTCCTTTTTTTTCAACTGCCATGTATGCTTGCTTGCTTTAAAAAGAAGAAATAATGTTTCTTTTTTAATTTGGAGTTCATTTTAATATATATTTTATATGATCAGATATATAGGTATTATAAGAAATTATGTTTTTAAAAAACAAAACTTGCCAGGTGCTGGTGGCTCATGCCTGTAATCCTAGCTACTCAAGAGGCTGAGAAGCCAGCCTGGACAGGAATGTCCATGAGACTCTTATCTCCAATTAACCACCAGAACACTGGAAGTGGCGCTGTGGCTAAAAGTGGTAGAGTGCTACCCTTGAACAAAAAATGCTTAGGGACAGCTCCCAGGCCCCAAGTTCAAGCCCCACAACCGAAAAACAAAAGAACAAGAACAACACCACCAACAAAAAACACCAAAAATTTATGCCAGGTGCTGGTGGCTCATGTCTATAATCCTAGCTACTCAGGAGGTGGAGATCTGAGGATCACAGTTCAAAGCTAACCTTGGTAGGAAAGGTCATCAGACTCTTATCTCCAATTAACCAGAAAAAAAAAAAACCAGTGGCTGGGAAGATGGCTCAGTGATAGAGTGCTTGCCTAGCATGCATGAGGCTCTGGGTTCAATTCCTCAGCACCACATAAGCAGAAAAAGCCAGAAGGGTGCTGTGGCTTAAGTGGTAGAGCATTAGCCTTGAGCTGAAGAGCTGAGGAACAGTGCCCAGGTCCAGAGTTCAGGCCCTACAACCGACCAAATTAAAAAAAAAAGCCAGAATTGAAGCTATGACTTAAAGTAGAAGATCACTAGCCTTGAGCATTAAGGCTCAGGGACAGCATTTAGGTACCGAGTTTAAGTCCCAGGACTGACCAAAAAAACAAAAAACCAGTCTGGTGGTACATACTTGTAATCTGAGCACTTAGGAGGCTGAGGTAGGAGGTTCAAGAGAATTCCTCTGTGCCTCTGATCATATAAAATGATCAGCTGGGTGCCAGGGGCTCACACCTGTAATCCTAGCTACTCAGGAGGCTATTTGAGGATTGTGGTTCAAGGCCAGCCAGGCAGGTAAATATGTGAGACTCTTATCTCTGATTAACCACCAGAAAACCAGAAGTGGTGCTGTGGCTCAAGTGGTAAAGCCCTCACCTTGAGCTGAAGAGTTCAGGGACAGTGTCCAGGCCTAGAGTTTAACCCCCATGACTGACCAAAAAAGGCAGTTATCAAAATGAAAAAAAAAGAAAGCTCAAGGCCATTTAGACCAGCCTGAGCTGATTTCATATACTGAGGTTGTCTCCAAACAAACAAACCTTGGCATAGACTCCTCCACTTTTCTTTGTGCAGAATGACTAGGAGGAAATGAGCAGGTAGGTGGTAGAATAGGTTTGGGGACTGGAGAGCCTCAGGATTCCCCTTCCCACATGCTGCTGACAGGGACATGCTGCTGGAGGGCGGCTCAGCAGTGGATGCAGCCATCGCTGGGTTGCTGTGCATGGGACTCATGAATGCACACAGCATGGGCATTGGGGGCGGCCTCTTTCTCACCATATACAACAGCACCACACGTGAGTGTCTGGGGAAGGGGAGGGTGGGCGGCATGGGTGCCCATCCGTATCCTTGGGCTTGGTATCCTTGTGGACTTGGGCTGGGGTACAGCATAACTGGATGACCCCTGGGCTCCCTTGGTAGGAGGGGTTGGGGTTGGGGAAGGTGTCTTCTTACCTACTTGCTTCTCCTTCCAGGAAAAGTTGAGATCATCAATGCTCGTGAGGTAGCTCCTCGGCTGGCCCATGAAAAAATGTTCAATGACTCCAAACAGTCTGAAGAAGGTAAGCTGCCTCATGAGCTCAGGATGTGGGGCTAAGCCATGGTGTCCCCACGGAGAAGTTGCTTCATCTACAGAATCATGCACCTGTCCAACATCTGGTGACAGCTGTAGTACCTCTTCTGTCCCTTCATGGTGCCGTGACACCCTCCCATACTGAATACACAAACCACCATTGTGTCATTTCTTTACTTCATGTTATCATCATCATCATCATCATCATCATTTTGTCCAGGCCCAGAGTTCAAGCCCCAGAAACAGCAAAAACAAACAAACAAACAAACAAACAAAAGCATTCCTTGGATCTCAAGGTCCTTAATAGCTAGGATTATAGGCATGAGCCACTGGCACCCAGCCTGTCATTTCTGCTCAGGCTCCTCCAGAGTTGTACATGGAGGAAATCCATCATGGTTGATCCTTTATATTCACTAGTTCCGTATCCATAGGTTCTGTGTCTGTATTGAACATTACAGACTGTTACCCTGGGTCCCTAAATGATACAGTATGGCAACTATTTACATACTATTTGCTCTGGATTAAATACACTAACCAAGCTGGTGGCTCACACTTTTAATCATAGCTATTCAGGAGGCTGAGATCTAAGAATGGTGGTTCAAAGCCAGCCCAGGTAGATGAGACGCATCTTTTTTTTTTTTTTGGCAGTTGTGGGGTTTGACCTCTGGGTCTGTGCGCTGTCTCTCAGTGCTTCAGCTCAAGGCTAGTGCTTTACCACTTGAGCCACAGTGCCACTTCTGGTTTTCTGGTGGTTTATTGGAGATAAGGGTCTCATGGACTTTCCTGCCCGGGCTGTCTTTAAATGATGATCCTTAGATCTCAGCCTCCTGAGTAGCTAGGATTACAGGCGTGAGCCAGTGCCTGGCTGAGACTCATCTTTAATTAAACACAAAAAAAAACGGAAAGTGACTATGTGGCTCAAAATGGTAAAGTGCTAGCCTTGAGCAAAAGGAGCTCAGGGATAGCACCTAGGCCCAGAGTTCAAGCCCCAGGACTGGCAAACAAACAAACAAACACTGTAACCATAGTATGACTAGAAGTAACATGAGGACCAGTTCCTGGAAAGTCTGTGAAACTCTTATCTCTAATTAACCACCAAAAAAAGTCTGGAAGTGGAGCTGTGGCTCCAGTGGTAGAACATCAACCTTGAGCAAAAAAGCTAAGGAGCCCAGTGGCACCAGCATCTCACTCCTATAATCCTAGCTGCTTAGCAGGCTGAGGTCTGAGGATTGGGATTCAAAGCCAGCACTTAGGCAGTAAGGTTCATGAGGCTCTTTCCAATTAACCATAAACAGAAGTGGAGCTGTGGCTCAAGGGATAGAACACTAGCCTTGAGCACAAAAGCTGAGGGACATTACCGAGGCTCAGTTCAAGCTCCAGGACTAGAAGAAGAAGAAAAAAAATCTAAGGGGTAGCACCCAGACACTGAGTTCAAGCCCAGCACCAGCACACACACACACACACACACACACACACACAGAGTACAGGACAATGTGGATGGGTAATATGTAACTACAACCTCATTTTCTATAAGGGACTTTAGCATTCATGAACTTTGGCATTCTTTTTTTTTGTTGTTGTTGGTCATAGGGCTTAAACTCTGGGCCTGAGCGTTGTCCTTCAGCTCTCCAGCTCAAGGCTAGCGCTCTACCACTTGAGCCACACCACCACTTCCAGTTTTTCTGGTAATTAGTTGGAGATTAAGAGTCTCATGGACTTTCCTGCCTGGGCTGGCTTTGAACTGGGATCCTCAGATCTCAGCCTCCTGAGTAGCTAGGATTACAGGTGCTCCTGGCTATTTTTTTTAAAAATATACTTTGAGAAATACAGAATGTGTAGAAATGAAATTTCCCAGGAGTATGGGAATGCTGGAATCTTACAGACTTAGCATCATGTGGATGCTTGGAATTTACTCCCTTAACTTGAACTTCTTTTTTTTTTTTCGGTTGGTTGTGGGGCCTGAACTCTGGGCCTGGGCACTGTCTCTCAGCTCTTCAGCTCAAGGCTAGCTCTCTACCACGTGAGCCACAGTGCCCCTTCTGGCTTTTTCTGCTTATGTGGTACTGAGGAATTGAACCCAGGGCCTCATGCATGCCAGGCAAGCACCCTCCCACTGAGCCACCTTCCCAGCCCAACTTGAACCTCTTCAGTCCCTCTTACAGCATCACACTTTGTTCCCCAAATCCAGGTACAGAACAAAGGCAAACAATATAGTTGGGTGGGCACATTCCATGTGGCCAGGAAGAAGAGGCTGAGGCCACAGACACCAAGGGCCATATGCAGTGGAGATCACAGAGCTGGTGGCCGGTGGGTAGGATTTTTACTTAAGATAGTGTCAGAGGCAGGGCAGGGTAGGAGGAGTCATGTGGCATCTCAAGGAAGACAAGGATGACTGAGTGATCCAGACGGAATAAGCAGAGGTAACATTTTGCAGGGTACCACCGAAGCTGAATATATGGCATTGGAAAAGACCGCTTAAGTAGGTTGGGACCTCATAGGTCACCTCAGAGTGAGGTGAGAAGTCCAGGCTGGTGTACAAAGGGGCAAGGAGACTCTGAGACTCAGCAGGAGGTCACTCAAATAATCCAGAGACAGTAGAGGGTGGTTGGCAATAACTCGTGCTGAAAGAGGAAGCCTGTAATTTGTTGTTTGGTTGAGATGTGTACATGGAAAGTCTGTGCTCAGAGACATATAGGGCTGTCAGGGAGGGGGTGTTGAGCAGGGATGCCAGGAATGTAGTTTGGGGCAGGTTAAGTTTGAGATACCTGTTCCAAGCTGGCAGGTAGATACTTGGGTCTGCTAGTCAGGCCAGAGGATGCATTTAAAAGTTTGTCAGTTCATAGGTGGAACCTGAAACATGGAGCTGGAAACACCACCAAGACAGAGAGGGAAAATGGTAGGAGATAGGGAAGAAGGGATAAGGAGAACCAGGTGAGTGTGACACTAAGGTAGTTCAGAAAAGAGCGATGGAAAGTCTGAGGAGGACAGACGTGGTAGTGCATCCCTGTAATCCCAGTACCTGGGAGGCTGAGAAAGGAGGATTGAAAGCTCAAGGTCAGATAAGACCTCAGATTGGGACTCTTATCTCAAAAGAAAAACAAAAGACAGCTGGGTTCTTGCCTGTCATCCTAGCTTCTCTGGAGGCTGAGATCTGAGGATTGTGGTTTGAAGTCAGCCCAGCCAGGAAAGTCCACGAGACTCTGATGTCCAATTAACCACCAAGAAGCTAGAAGTTGAGCTATGCCTCAAGTGGTGGAGTGCTAACCCTGAGTGAAAAAGTTCAGGGACAGTACTCAGGCTCTGAGTTAAGCCCTAAGACTGTCACAAAACAACAACAAACAGCCCACGGCTCATTAGTGGGCTTGGCACGCAAGGTATCATGAGACCTTGATTGCTCTGAGGTTAGAAGCGGATTTCTTTTGGGGAGAGAGTGGGGAAAACAGTTTTAAACTCAAGGCTTCAAGCTTGCTAGCCAGTTTTTTTTTTTTTTTTTATCACTGGACCATGCCCCCAGCCTGATCCTTTTACACTAATCCTTTCAAATGGAATCTTGGTTTTTGGCAAGCACCTGGACCACAAGCATCCCATTTTACACTTATACTTCCTGCTAGAGCAGGAAAATCCATGAGACTCTTCTCCATAATTGACCAGCAAAAAGACAGCAATGGGGGTGTGGCTCAAGTGGTAGAGCACTTATCTAGAGCAAAAAAGCTAAAAGAGAACTCAATACCTTGAGTTCAAGCCCCAGTACCAACACACACACACACACACACACACACACACACACACACACACACACAGGAGAAAACAACCTGGATGATGAAGACTCCCCCTTCTCCCCCTCCCCCCTTAGAGTCAAGTGGGGAAATGGACCCAGAGAGAGGACAGGGCATTAGGGCATTGAAAACTGTAGAAAAGAAGAAGGGGGTCCCGTCCTCTGTACCAGCTAAGCCTTGAGGATCTCCTGGGCTCGAATTGAAAGTAGGGCAAGATCTGTTCAGATGTTGTTGTTTTTTTTAATTGTGAAAATACTGTACAGAGGGGTTACAATTACATGGGCAAGATAATGAGTACATTTCTTTCTTTCTTTTTTTTTTTTGGGGGGGGGTGTCTGGTCATGGGGCCTAAACTCTGGGCCTGGGCGCTGTCCCTCAGCTCTTCAGCTCAAGGCTAGCGCTCTACCACTGGAGCCACAGCGCCACTTCCGGCTTTTTTCATTTTGCTTATGTGGTGCTGAGGAATCCAACCCAGGGCCTCAGGCATGCAAGGCAAGCGCTCTACCACTGAGCCATCTTCCCAGCCCCTAATGAGTACATTTCTTATCAAACATTGTAGCCTCCTCCTTTGTTTCCCCTCTGTTCGGATTTTTTTAACTGTATCTTTTTGTCTTTTCTTTTTTGGTAATGGGGATCAAACCCAGGGCATTGCGTTCTAGGCAAGTACTTTGCCACTGAGCTGCATCCTAGCCCCAGGGCAGGATCTGATCTTGCTTTGGAAGGTTCTAGCGGAGTCTGAGTCTGATGGGATAAGAGGCCTTGTGGCTAGAGGTAGTTGTGGCCTAGACTGAGAGATGGGAGAGAATCTGTCTTCCCTCTGGCCTCTCTGGGTAACTGTGGACCATGTACAGGCAAATGTGGAGGCACTTTGGGGACACTTATAATCTCTGGACAGCAAAACCCAGTACAAGAGCCACCAGTTCCCCAGCCTATGTTCTGGGAAACACCCCTAGTCAATCTGAATGCTTGCCCACAGATGATCATAAAATTCCTTTTTGTTGGGCTGGGAGTGTGGCTGAGTGGTCGTGTGCTTGCCTAGCCTGTGTGAGCTCCTGGGTTTGAATAGCCAGCACCACATATGCACAGCCCCTTTCCTTCTATGCCCTAAAATAACTCACAGAAGGTACCTGGGATGTGGCCTTAGAAAGTCCCGTATGAGGCTGGGCTGTAGCTCAGTGGCAAAGCACTTGCCTAGCAAGTGCGATGTCCTGGGTTCGACCCCCAGTACCAAAAAAGAAAAGACAAAGCTTGGAGCTGGTGGTGCATGCCTGTAATCCTAGCTACTCAGGAGGCTGAGATCTGAGGATCACGGTTCAAAACCAGCCCAGGTAGGAAAGTCTATGAGACTCTTATCTCCAATAAACCACTAGAAAACCGGAAGTGGCGCTGTGGCTCAAGCGGTAGAGCACTCGCCTTGAGCTGAAGAGCTGAGGGATAGCACCCAAGCTAGAGTTCAAGCCCTACGACCGACCAAAAAGCCAAAGCAAAACAAAAAGTCTCGTATGTCTTCTGCTTGGGGGCATTAACGGTTACTCTCTCCCCTTCCAGGTGGGTTATCTGTGGCAGTTCCTGGTGAGATCCGTGGCTATGAATTGGCCCACCGGCGGCATGGACGGCTTCCATGGTATCGCCTCTTCCAGCCTAGCATCCAGCTGGCTCGAGAGGGCTTCCCAGTGGGCAAGGGCCTGGCAGGGGCCCTGAAAAGAAAACAGGATGTCGTTGAACAGACACCTGCCCTGTGGTAGGTCTGCAAGGACTGGCCTGTCTTGGAGCAGAGTCAGGGCAGGTGTGGCTTGAGTGATATGGGACAATTGGCCCCCCAAGGGACACCTGTGAGGCTCTGTCCATTTGTTGCTTTGTTCAAACTAGTGGATGGGTGGATGGGGTGATCTGGCCTAATCTGCTCCACCTGCTACAACATGTGACCCGCCCCCCCCTCCCCCAGTGAGATTTTCTGCCGCAATGGGAAAGTGCTCCAGGAAGGAGATATAGTGACCATGCCACGGCTGGCTGACACCTATCAGACACTGGCCGAAGAGGGCCCCCAGGCCTTCTACAACGGGAGCCTCACTGCCCAGATTGTAAAGGACATCCAGGAGGCTGGTGAGTGAGCATTTTGGGGGTCCTAGTGAGGAACCCCACAGTGGGAACTCTGAGCCAGGATCCAGACACTGAAGTCCTTTTGGCCTGTCTGGTCTGGGCGTTGGCTTCAGGGTGTTCTTGGCATGGGAACATCATGGATAGGCCACCTAAGTCTGCAGCTCCTGGTTCCATCATGGAGGAAGGAAAGTCTCTGGCAGGTGAATGAAGAGATAGGCAGAATGCTAGGCTAGGGAAGCACTAGCGTGCTGCCCATGGCTCCAGGAAGATCAGAGAGGACACATTGTAAGAGGTGGCAGCTGGGCTGCAGATGGCAGCCCAGTCAAGGGAGAGAGTACAAGTGCTCTCTGACTGAGTAGAAGCTTGGAGTAAGGCCAGGAGGGATGTGGGAAAGCTTTGTTCACTGGGAGATCACAGGGTGAACATGAGCTTTTACAAGTACCAGAGGGCCTCTGTGGGGCAGGCCCCAGGGTGACCATTTTCTTGTTACTTTTGTCTGGGTTTTATGGAGGAGGGTGATTAGCACATTGACCTTCCAGCCAACTCTATTTGGAGCTGGTTCCCTGAAGAATTAAGAGCCTTCCTCCCTCTCTCCCTCCCTCCTTTGTCCCCTTTATCCACTAATCATTAATCAAAGGAGGAGGGGCCTGGGGGGGGCAGGGAGAGCAGATGGAAGTAGGTATTCTGTACTTGCAAAAGGCTCTGTGGAGAGGAAAGCAAGCAGGCCAGGAAGCCAATGAACTGAGCAGATTGAGGGGTGTCTGGCCTGACCTGGCCATGGGTGGTAAAAGAGAACAGACAGCCTGAGGCCCTAGCTTGGTGGTTATGTGGCTTTTTCTGGTCGTACAGCCCTCACCTCCTTCTACCCAATGGTACAACTCCTGGTCCCTCTCCATGTCTGCCCCACCCCCACCTCTGCCAGTAGTGTATCCTTGGCTTGCTCCATGGTTCAACCTCAATGGTGGAGGCCAGTCCCCACATAATGCAGCCCTGCTATTTCCTCATGGCACAGCCCGATCCTCATGTCCATCAAGCTTCTGTCCCTTTGCAGGAGGCATTATGACAGTTGAGGACCTGAACAACTACCAAGCAGAGCTGATTGAGAACCCATTGAGCACCAGGCTTGGGGACTCCGTGTTGTATGTGCCCAGTGCTCCTCTCAGTGGGCCTGTGCTGATTCTAATCCTGAACATTCTCAAAGGTGAGCGGCCCCACCATAGCCCTGCTGAGAGGTCTGAGACATACTGCCTGCTGCCGCTTTTCCCTTTTCATGCTCGCTCCCTGCTGTATCCTTGTCTTCTTGGTCACCATCTCTTCCTTTACTGAGTGTGGGATGTGCCATGCCCTACTGCATGGCTCCCTTAGGGGGCAGTGTGGAGTCCCCATGTTATCCATACTAGAAGCTGGAAGAGGAAGGAAGACAAGAAGGAGGAGCTTGGAAGAAAAGGAGGAGAAGGAAGAGGGAGTGGAGAAAGGGCAAGAATGAAGATGAGGAAGTGGAGGAAAAGGGGAAGAGGAAGATTGGGTGGGGGAAGAGGAAGAAGAAGAGTAGAGGAGAGGGACAGAGGTGCTGGAGTTCAGGGCAGGGGGGCTTGGTTCAGAGGGTTCTTCTGCCGGGC